GTATTGGATTTTTGCACTGAGTTTTCATTTTTCACTGAATCTTTAATCTCCAAAATCAAATATAGAGAAAATATGGAAAGGGTATGGGCCATGGAATTTGAAAAACCTGTTTTCATTCCTGTCTCTGTACTTAATAATCTCTTGAAGCCTTGTTAGCCATGAAATGAGAGTGACTTTTTGGAGGGGGGGTGTGTGTGTGTGTGTGTGCACACATGTGTGCATGTATACTCATATTGAGTGAGATTATAAACTGGAAGCACTTAAAACACTTGGCATACAGCAAGAACATAATAAATGCTTACCTTCTTTCTTTGGTCTAAGCCAGTGATGTCCTCTTTTTGCATTCTCAAGAAGTTACACCAGTGTTAAATATGCTGTATATTTACTGAAACATTTAAAACAAACCCAACATTGTAGGGTCAACCGCGGAGGGAAAGAATTTCTGTAGAACTCTCTGATTCTTAATTTATATTGGAATTACTGATGCTTCCTTTTCCCAAAGTGTGTATAGTACTGTATTTTGCACATAGTAGGCACTTAAAGATGTAATCATGTGATAAAAATAACATTGAGGAAGGAATCTGAAGGCCTGCATGAAGTCTTGGCTTGTTAGCTTATTGATTTCTGTGGTGTTTGCAGCTGCTGAATTTCTTTGAACATGGTGTCGTGCCTTTCTTGGTCTAGCAGTGTGAACAGATTGCATCCTCCTCCTTATACTTTAGTATATAAATTCATACAAAAAAGACCTCAGAGCTCAGAAAAGGAGCTCTAGAGAGGGAAGTGGGTTGGATCCATCTTGGATCCAAAGTTGCTAGTCCAGGAGGAGAGAACCCATATGCAGGACATTTTTAGTTGAGGAGCAGGGTATATGCAGATCAGAAGTGTGATAAATAGAAAGGTGCAAACCTTGAAAGAAAGACCAGGATCTTAATTACAACAGAAATAGCAACAACAAAAACATATAATTGTAGGAAATGAAGGTGCAGGTTTTCAAAGACAGGAAAAGCACAGCTGGAAGATGCCAGTAACAAAGGAGAAGACTACAAATGAGGTGGCTTCTGTGCCATAAACTTAGAATTTTTCTCATAGCTCACCTCTTCTGATCTCTCTCCCATTTCTTGGTAACTAAACTAAGAAAATTTTTTCACCTTTTCTCCTTCCCACTCAGCCTTCTCCACCCCAGTCATTTTCTCCTCCTCGCTTCATTTTCTGTCAAAATTTATGAGATCACGAACTATGCTAGAGATACGCCTGGATTATTTTTTTTCTAAGATATTTAGTTGACTTTATTGTGAAAGACAAACAAAACGTCAAGTTGTAGCTACAAACTATAAAATTTCAAAGACATTGCTTCTCTTTAATAAAATACTAAGTATTTTAAGTAAAATCTAAATAATTTTAAATTTAAAAAATGCACTTTCTATCCGTCAACTCTGACCGTAACAGGCTACTCCAAAAATTAGTGGTGTACCAAAATACTGTCATCATGTTCACAGGTTTTTCAGGTTGGTTGGGGTGGCTCTTCTCCACGGGTGCCTCATTCTTTTGGGGCAAGTGGGCTACCTAGGGCCATGTTCTTCTTAAGGAAGTTACAGAAGTTCAGGAGGGAAGTCCAGTCATGCAAATACATTTCATATCTGCATGACTGTCTTTAATATGTCTTTTCTCAAAGCATGTCACATGGCCAAGTTCATCATCAATGCAGAAAGGAAACTGTCTCTAGTGGGAGGAAGTTAAAAGTGGCAAAAGGTATGGATACAGAGATGAGAGAATTGGGAGTCTAACACAGGCTCTTGTAATCTTTTCTGAGCTTTATATTCGTGTTTACATTTTACCTTGTAGTCATTAGTGTGTATACTATTTTGTGTTTCATCACTTTAGCTTAATATGATTTTGTGAAGATAATTTCTATATAGGTTGTATATTTGCTATTAAAAAAAATGCAGTTGTTTGCTTGACTCAGACTGTGCCTCTAAGTCCAGCTGTATAGAAATCATCTAAGGTACTTATTAAAAATGCAGATCCCTAGCCTTTAACCCTGACCCTGCTGGAATCACAGTTTCTGGGACTGGGGCCTGAGAATCTTAATTATCATCAAACTCATCAGGTCATTCTTCTGCACATTAAAGTTTAGAACCACTTCCTTAGTGGGAGGTCATTTGTATTGTTTCCGTTTTTCCAGCATTATAAATAATAGCTGGTAACATTTGTATAAATGACTGATTTGGGGAGGCATTCAATAGTCTTTCCCTGATCGATGATCAGGTAATTTGCAGTTGAGGGAAATAATGCTCTGTGTAAAGAATGGAGTTTGGAGTGCTGGTGGTGGTGAGATTACAGAGAGGTGTATAAAATCTAAGTTTTCTGTTAAGTAAAATGAGACCTTAGATAAGAATTTCTGTAAAATTTTTCTACATCTTTAATATTGTGATATTTGGTATTGAGTAACTTAGTCATGGTTCCATTGCTAGTTATCAGTACTATTTTAAATGAACAAAGGAAAGTTGGCAGGTTTAAAGAGAATTCTTTTTTCACCTCTGTAAGTTTGACAGTTTGATTTTTTTACTCAACTATTCTTCCTGGCATTTTATATGACCTTGTTTATATATGCTATTATTTTTATTTTATTGTTAGATAGTCTTGGTTATTTCAGCTCTTTAATAAGGTTATTGGAAATGAAAAATCATTGATGGCGTGGTGGATACTGCCCATGCTTATCTAATACACATTATTTGCTTTTCCTCACAAACAGAACCTTGATTTCATTTTCAAAGTGGCTTTTTGCCTAGCTGAAAAATATGTTTCCAGCCTTCTTTGCAACTATGAGTGGCCATGCATCAGTGAAGCTTTAAGTGGAAGTCACTAGATAGGTCGTCTTAAAGAAGTCAGAATGTTTTGGCTTATGCCCTTTGTCTTGTGCCCTTCCTTTTATCCTACCTAGAACTTGGACGGGATGCTTGAGGATGAGACATGGAGTGACAGACGTTTGATGAATGTCACATAGAAGAGTGTTCAGTGGGAAGACAGAAGGAGCTTTAGATCTTTCTTAACATGTGGGAGGCCTTATCAGATCTGGATTGCCCACCTCCAGTCTAATTATATTAGAAAAAAGACACTGCAGTATGTTGAAGCTACTATTTAGATGGGACTCTTTTGCATGTAGTTGAATATAAGTTCTAACTTACACATGTGGTTTCTATAAAAGGTATTTAGGTGTACGTTATCTCAAACCTGATTTTCAAATGTTTTTTATTTATTTTTTCATTTCATTTTGTAATTTGTTTAGGACCTTTCAACTCTGAAGGTATATATATTATGCATATTTAAATTGTCAAGTACAATTTGAAATGCACATTTTACAATTATAACATTAGCAAATCTGTATACAGAATATTTTAAAACCTTATTTTGAAGTTTGAAGTAATTATAAATTTAAAGTTGCAAGATAGTACAAAGAACTACAACTTTTTTTTTTTTTTTGAACTATTTCAGAGTAAATTGCAGACATCATGCCCCTTTAAAACTTAAACACTTCAGGGTGTATTTCCTAAGAAAAAAGATATTTTCTTAAATAATTATAGTGCTGTTATCAAATTCAGGAATTTAATATTAACAAAATATTATTACTAAACCGTTCATATTTGTATTTCTCCAGTTGTCCTAGTAATGTCCTGTATAGCATTTAGTGTTGGACGCCACATTACATTTGATTATCAGGCCTTTTTTGTCCCCCTTAATCTGGAAACTCACTCTTTGTCTTTTATGATATAAACATTTTAAAGATGACAGTAATTACTTTGTAAAATGTCCTTCAGTTTGGATTTGTCTGATGCTTCTGCAAGTTTAGATTCAGGTTATGCATTTTGGGCAGGAATACCATAGGTGATACTGTCGTCTTGTTGTATGCTACAACATCAGGTGGCATATACTGTCATTTTATCCCATTATTGGTAATTTTAAATTTGATTACTTGGTTGAGGTGGTACTTGTCATGTTTCTTCATTATAAAGTTATATTCTTTCTCCCTTTATAATTTGTAGGAATAGAGTTTGAAACTATGTAACTATCCTGTTTTTATCAAACTTTTACCCCATAGTTTTATCATCTATTGATGATTCTTGACTGATTTATTACTGAGATGAATGTAAAACATTTTCGAGAAAGATTTCAGCAAATCCTTTTATTCTAGTGATGCCTTCCATTTCATTTCCATTGATCTTTCTTTATTTCATGGTGCTGTCTTACAGTTTTGGGGAACTTGTTTAAAGAAATACAGAGATGTAGGAAGGAACATGTTTCTTAATTAGGGATGTTCAGGGCATCGTTTGATAGTGGAATCCCATCCCTTTTTCTCTCCGACAGAGTATAATAGATCATAAAGACCAACAGATCTGAAGCAAATGAGGGCAAGTGATGGGATCTTTTATGACAGATTAGAGAATGAGATGATCTTATTTTTCCTCAAATAGATCTTAGGATCCCCCATGATGTAATATACGTATCTAGTGCATGGCCTGTCCTTTGGCCTGTCTTTTTCAGACATCCTAGGTGAATGGGTGCTGGCTGACCCTAGGGGCAGGGGGGAGATGCTAGAGCTGCAAGGATTTCATTCAGTGGCCTCAGCCTCTAGTGAAAGCCCAGGGGATAAAACTGTTTTCCTTAATTCTTCTAGGCTTAACCTTGTGCATATCACTGCTTTTCTTGTGGGGAGGAATAAATTAGGCAGTGAATAGGCCAGAAACTGGTTAATCAGTAAGACTCCTTGGGAAGTGATGTAGAAGTTCCTTTTTGGAAACAGGAGAATGGAGTAGGGCTCCCCACAGCATGGTTTCTTCCTAAAATAGTGAAATTTGTTAAGTCTTTGTCGAGTTCTATATTTTTTCTTCTCTGTACTAGTTTGTGTTTTCTTTTTTTTTTTTTTAACCCAAAGGTCATTTATTTTCTTATTCTTATATATTTTCAGAATTTAAAGTGTAATGATTTCGGTTTTTCTCCTCTAGCACCAGCAGACGTTTTTGAATCAGCTGAGAGAAATCACTGGGATTAATGATGCCCAGATACTACAGCAAGCCTTGAAGGTATGGCATCTGTTTCATGGCATACAGTTTAAGTTGTACCCTCATCTCCACTGCCTACCATGTTTGAAAGGTTTTTAGTTACATTTTGTGGTGTAGTAATAGAGATATAGGAAAGAACTTTTATAATGTAAGAGCCTTACTTAGGGTGTAATTTTGAGCATGTTAGTTTTCAGCAGCCTAATGTTCTAGGATACCTTGAAGTGACAGATAATCTTCTCCATATGGAACACTTTCATGCAAAATGGAAGGATATGAATCCAAATGCGATGGCTGATTGTACTCGAGAGCTATGATGTTAGAATTTAAATGGGGGTAGAGAGTGGGGTGGGGTAGAGAAGTACGGGGAGGGAGAAGAGGAGAGAGAAAATTAATAGAGGATAAGAAGCTTAATTTTTTCCTTCCAAGGAGAAATAAAACTTGGCTAACATTTAACTAATTACACCTTACGAACATTCAATAGCAAGCTGGTTAGTATATGCAGTAAATAAAATGCATCATTTTGGTTGCATCTTCTGTTCCCTCATTTTCACATGGAGAAACTCAGATGGATATGCCCACTGAAAAAGATCAAGAGAATAAAAGATGTTTAAGAACTAGAACTGCAGGGGCACCTGGGTGGCTCAGTTAAACCTCCAACTCTTGATTTCAGCTCAGGTCATGATATAGGAGTCCTGAGATCCAGCCCTGCTGGATCATTGCTCAGTGGGGAGTCTGAGATTCTCTCTCTCCCTCTCCCCCAACTCCACCTTGCTGTCTCTCTTATAAATAGGATATAAATAAATCTTAAAAAAAAAAAAAGAACTAGAACTGCATTTTAAAGTTATTTCTATATTGCTACTAAAGGCTAACAGCAATATAGTATTTTTGCTGTTGTAAGGCATACATACAACTTCAGTCCTTCGGAACTTACTCCATGATACGAGTTTAATTATGTAATTTTTGATTCCTAGCCAAAAGTTCTTCATTTGTTTCTAGAAATAATTTTATCTTTTAGATGATTGTAATCTTGATAATAATCACTGGCAGTTATTAAGCTCCTGTAGTACTAGGTGCTACTCTAAGTGGCTAACACCCTCCTCGTAACTCTACTGAGGAAGGTGTGGTATGTGGGTGAGCTGGAAGAGAAACCGAGCAGCCTGGTCCTGGGGTGGCACACTTAATTTCCACTTTTACTGCAAGCTTTGCTTCATTTTTTTTTTTCCTATCAGGAAAATGATGAAACAGTGCTGTTTAGAGCATTAATGCAGGGTTGATGAAGCAACTCTAAGTATTCGGAGAGGAAGCAAAAATGTCAGACCTCAATTTTTATGATTATGACATTTAGATGATTGTTAGTCCTTTCCTTATTCTGATAAGTATGACTCAGTCACTCCATGTCTGTTTTCAGAAAGTGCCTTTACCATTCTATATCTCTGAGTGTGAGGCTATACCCAAGGTAATCCTTGTCAGGGCAAGTTTGGGGCATTCACTTTTTTTTTTTAACTTGGGAAACATGTAAAATATGTTTAATTAAATGAACATAAAGAGTTAATCAAATGAACTGTTGTCCACATTTTCTTTGAGTTAAGTTGTGTGCTATAGTTCTTTGTTTTTTTTTTTTTTAACTTTGGTTTCATTTACCAGTAGTTGGTGGGGTGGGGGGTCAGTGTACTTAAACCTTAACCATTACCCAGTATAAATTTGTAAGGTGTTTAGTAATGAGTTCACTTTCTCAGTAATGTACTGACAAGGAATATACTTTGGAGAAACACCATGCCGTTGATTGATTTCAGTAGTTTTATTTTAAAAATCTATTTTTAGCCCTCCAAAGTAAGTGATCTGTCTCCAAGTTGCGTAAATCCCTGTTGTATTCAGTTTATTATTATTATATGAGGTAGTATATAAAAAGCACTTGGCACATTTCTTGGCCCATAGTAAGTGTTCGATAAATGTAGCCATCGTTACTGCACATTACTTTACAGCTGTTTTACTTATTCAGCTACAGATTATATTATACCCATATTTCTGGTGAGTCATTTAAGAGTCTTCTAATGGTTGTGATATAAAGTTTAAAGCAGTGGTGCTTTTCCAACTGCACTCTTACTTTTTTCTCTCTTCCCTGGCTAACGATAATTGGAGTTGGGGTGGGTTGGGGACCTCATTCTTCCAGTTGCTCAGGTTTCAAATCTTGGAATCATCCTGATCTTTCTCCTATCATCTCTCACATTTAATGTGATGTTGGACTCTCTGCCTTAGCCCTTTCTCTCCTATAGTCTATTCTCAACACACAGCCAGAGTGATCTCTTTAAAATGTAAGTCATACCATGTCATTTCTGTCCAAAACCCTCCACTGGCTTCCTATTACAGTCTCTGTGTATGCTAAAGTTCATGAGGCCTGCATAGTCTTAGGTGTTCTGGCCTTCTGTTACAAAGATCACTTCATTATTAATATCTGGGCTTCCTAATGTTTCATTTAGCTGTCCCGGAACTACTCTTGTATTTATTATTAACTCTACAGAGAATAAAGAGAACTGGTCATGTCTCTTCTCATTATTTTGCTGTTATAAAAATTCTTGGTTTTGCTTTCTTCTAAATTAACTTCAGAATAATTTTGTCCAGATATGCTTTTGATGAGAACTATGTTAAATTTATGTACTTAATTTGGGTAGGATTGTCATCTTGATAGGATTGAGTATTTCTGTCTGGTTCTGTGTGTCTCTCTGTACTATCAAGCTTCAGAATGTTTTGCTGTTTTCTGCCTACAAGTCTGACATTTGCTTAAGTTTGCCTCTAGGTGTGCATTCAGCATCCATATTAAAGTTTATAGTTCTTCTTTGCAGAAGTACTGTTTTAAATATTCATTCTCATCCTTTTGTATGGCAAGTTCCAAAAAAGTTTATTTGTTTAGAAGCATAAGTTTTGTGATTGACTTTTGTTAAGGAGAAATGAAAGTAATGGGGAACTAAGAAATTATAGAATTGATTCTTATAATAGTAGTCATAATAGAAAAAGGAATTACTATTAATAGAATATACTTTGTTTATGATGAGTTTGTAAAATTAGGATCACATAGAATGATTACAAATCTAAAAGTGATTTTTGCTATTAAGTATTAGTTGCTGTGGAGAAACTTAAATAAATCATGTGGGAATGTATGGAGTTATTCCAAAATGTTTGATGTTCCATTCTTGATATTTGAAGGATAGTAATGGAAACTTGGAATTAGCAGTGGCTTTCCTTACTGCAAAGAATGCCAAGACCCCTCAGCAGGAGGAGACAACTTACTACCAAACATCACTTCCTGGCAATGATAGATACATCAGTGTGGGAAGCCAAGCAGACACAAGTAAGTTTACTTCTCTTTCTTAATATTTTAGTAAGAATGTAATGAAAAACTTTCCTTGGGAATATATTTTGTTTAAGCAGAGGTGAAGGACAAAGAACCACTTTACTTTAACCTTGGTTCAAAGTGTAGTTGAAAAGAGTACGTTTTTATTAGCTGCATTATTATTTTCTCCAGTTCAGGCGTAAAAGATTGTATTTGAGTTACGTATCCTTTCATAGAGCATTTCATTTAGTATTCATTGTTTTGAGCTATAGAACAGCTATAGGTGTTACTCATGAAAGAAACAAACATTTCCAGGATTTTATATGGGCACAAACATTTGTTTTATGGATTTTAAGTGTTGGTAGAGGCCTTAGTATTATTTTTGAAGGTAAGCTATTGTTTCGAACTACTGATAGGTTTACAACAGAATTTCCCTTCCCTCAGCCCTCGCCCCTCACCAAAATGAAGATTTTAGAAAAAAGTTTATTACCATGTAACAAAATAAACACACATACGCAGACATATATACATATATATGGAAAGTTTTATGTGGGATTCTACTTTTTCTTTATAATGTGAATAGTTCTGCTTATATGTAGCACTGAATTTTTCAAAATATGTTTAGTTACCTCTATCTCATTATGATATAGTGACTGCACTATATAACATGTATTTATTTTATAAAAGGTATTTATTTTTATGCATTTTGTATTTGAGAAATTTGATTATTAACTTGTATTTGAAGAGAATTTCTGAAACTTTTTTTTTTTAAGATTGTATTTTTAAGTAATCTCTATACCCAGGATGGGGTTTGAACTCAAAACCCCCAGATCAGGAGTTGCCTGCTCTACTGACTGAGTCAGCCAGGCACCCCTCTGATTTTGTTTATAGACCTCCTCAGAGTTAAAAAACAACTAGCAAGAACACATTCACATGGTTGTTTATAACTGTTGTCAGTAAAGATTATTTTAATGTTTGTTGATAAAATATTTTAATTTCAAATTTTCAGGATAATCTTAATATTTTTGTTCACAAACAGTCTTATGTGCCAAAAGCTGAAATACTCCTACCTCATATAGGTAATAGGTGGTGGAAGAAGTTTTGTATATGTGAGACAGACCTAATTGTTTATGTCTACATTCAAGACAGACTGCTTTGGACCCTATCTACATCCTCTAACTTTATTTTATACTGTTTTTCTCTTTTTACTTTATAAAACCATGATAATTCAGGATGGCTTGGAGTTCTTATCCACCCAGTGCTATTTAATTTCTTTGGTCTTTACACTTGCTGTGCCTTCAGTCTGGAATCCCCTCTAGCCTTTACCCCCAGCTTAATTACCTCTGGTGTTTTTAGACTTAGGTCAGGAGCTTCTGGCTTCTAGGTTGGAGCAAGCGCTTCTGTAGCACCCAGAGTGTACTTGGGTCTTCAGGAATACTGTGTTATTTTGAAATTATTTGCTTGTGCCTTTCTTTCTTACCAAACAGGAAGCTTAACAGGGCAAAAGACCATTGATGTGCCTATCATCACGCTAGAATAGTTTGCATAGTTTCTCAAAAAGTGTTCATTGAATTATTTTTGATAATATGTATAAAAAAGCTGTTTCAGAACCAATGAAAAAGAATGAGGTTGAGAAGCTTGTTGAAAGAAGTTAGAAAAAAGAGAAGTAGTATAAATAGTGGAGGAACTAGTGTGTGAGAATAACATCTATCTTTCAAGGTTCTGAGACTTGGGGGAAAATGAAATTAGGTAGAGAAAGGAAAAAAAGTTTTCCACTGAAGGCAGCTGGTTAAAGTGAAGGAAACAGGAAATTGACTAAACATGGTTTAGTGGAAACATTGTTCTAGTGGAAAGGATGACAAGATTTTAGACTGATAGATGTGAATTCTTAATATAGATGGTAGACTTTGTGACATGAGGTAGTATATATAGAGGTAGGTAGGGGAATTAGGATTTATAAGACTTTCCTGAGTAAAAGAAGACGTCTTATTTGCTCTGTAAAATCAGCAAGTATTGTTTAAGCCAGATGTTAACACCTGTTCAAGACTTTTGACAAGGAATAATGAAAATGTTATGGACAAAAGAGATTTGAATAGGTGCTCTTAGGGAGAAGGCAAACCTGATTTCAGAAGGTGTGTGTCCCATTGAATGATAATTAAAAATTGTGTGTGTGTGTGTTTGTGTATGTAGCTCTTGGAAAATATTAAGTAATTTTTTTATAAGATTTATTTATTTGAGAGAGAGAGAGAGCGTGTGCCCGTGCATATGCAGGGTGGAGGTGCAGAGGGAGAGGGAGAGACAGTCCCAAGCGGACTCCACATTGAGTGTGGAGCCTAATACGGGGCTTGATCTCATGAGATCACAAGATCACGACCTGAGCTGAAACCAAGAGTTGGTCACTCAACCAACTGAGCCACCCAGGTGCCCCTCATTAAGTATAATTTTATATTTCACTTTAAAGAAATGGTAGAGAAATGGAGTTTCTGGTTTCATTACAACCGATTATCATATTGAGCAAATTGTGTGCTGTTGTGGTTTCTTTCTCAATAAAATGTGCTATCCTTCTCACCAAGGTGCTAATTTATAATTAGTAATTCAGTAAGTTGGAGAGTGTGTCCATAAAGTTGTTTGCAGATTATTGAGAAAAACCCTTGTAAAAATAAAATGTGGTGATTGTATTATAATAGTATCAAAATGTGAAAAAAATGGGATGAGGTAACATTCTTTTCCATTTAACAAATTTGTACTGTACTTCATAAAGTTCTAAGACGTACAGTTGCTTTTAGGAAATAGATTCAGCATTTAAATTTGTCATTGTCACAGTAGTGTTACATGGTCTAAAAGTGAGAAAGTAAGGAGATGACATGCATTCAACAGATTTTTTAAATTACTGTGCTATTAGTCCTGAGAAGAAAATGACGTCTTTTGTCTATTTTTACTTCTTGGAAGGAGTGGTAAAACATGTGAGGAGGAAAGATAGGAAGTAATTACAAATATATATTCAAACACAGGCCTCTATTGAGAAAACTGGGTAAGTGCTACAGGAGTCTGGTGTACTGAAGTGCCAGAGTGTGAGGAAGTTCTCAAGCGATTGTTCTAGATACTAGAACAATATAAAAATCCTTTTTGAGCATTTTCTCAATTTTATATGAAATACGTTGTTATTTGAAAGTTGACCATACTGTAACTTAATTTTTTCAAATATGGCATGTTTTTTATTTTTTAAAAATTTTTTTATTCCTTCTTTTCTAAGTATTAAGTCTCTTACAACCAGGGCTAAAACATAAAGCAATGCTAACTTTAAGTGAGCCATCTGTTGGCTATGGTGCTGACAAAAAACATCGGTATTTTGAAATAAAAATCTCTAATGCTAAATACATAAGATTCCTTGTTGATATAAGCTCCTTTGGAACGAATAAAGTACATCTTTTTTAATGACTAGAAAAGATTAGCTTTTAAAATAATATCCTATAGAAGTCACATTTGGGGTTTGTGGGGAAATTTTCTGTTACTCATAACTCTATATGTCAGAAGATAAAATTATATCACTTTAAAGATTTAACACATATTTGTGAACCTTCGTTTAATATTGAAGAAGTAATTACATTTTCAGTAGTTTAGTAGGACTATGATTGTCCTTTCTATCTTTTGTTTTTGAGAAAAAAAGAAAACATTTCAAGGGAAGCTTATACTCTGCATAATAAGGAATTAAGTAGTAATGTACTTGGTGTCTTTTTATTGCATTTGTAATTTTCCATACTCTACTGAATTCTGAGGAAAGGCCCAAAACGTTTGTAGTAATATTAGCTAAAATTTTAGGCATCTTTTTTCACTCCTTGGATCTCTTGTCCAGATTGGATATTGTGGATTGTCAAATGAATGCTTCCCACCTCCAGCTAAAATTGGAAATAAAATTGTGTTGGAGTTTTGCAGTAAAAAAATACTAATGCAGAGCGGACTAGGAAACAATGCAAGATATTGAGATATCATAGGTATATACTAGACTCTGCTAAGTTTTTGTGTCATGGCAAACTCTTGTCATAGACATGACCATGCAAGGCTTTTGCCCAATTTGAAATCAAATAGGTAATATTCTTCCTTTCATGACCATTAAATTCTTTTGAACTTTTTTAAAACAGGAAAAAAACAGTATATGCCCACCAGAACAAGATGTACTGCAATTGAGCAATCAAAGTATGGGTCAAAAGATGAGAGGGATTTGGGTAGGTAATTTTAACACAGAAAGTATTGCCATATGTTATTGGCTTAAGTTTTAGAGAAATTGTTACAACACATCAGAATGACTGTTAAGTGGTCAACCCTTCACAAATTTAGAATCAGTGTATTTTCTTCCCCTCAAAAGGAATTGAATTATTAGGTAAGGATTGCATAGAAAGTGAGAGGTTCTGTCTTAGAACTCTGGTCTTATATTGCTTGGCCAGCCTAACAGTGATTTAAAGCTCAAGTGATAAATAGATCCAAGTCTAGTGCGTTCATCTCTGCTAAGGGTAAATTGCTTATGTTAAGCAGTTTAGGATTTTATTAATTGAATGCTAATTTTTCCCATTCTTCAAAATGTTAAACAGGTAACTATGGATAGAAAAAAAATTGATGCAAAGAAAGTTAAATCTCTTTTTCCATAGAGATTTCTAATGCATAAAACTATTTTGACGATTCCCCAAAAGTCAAGGTTAAGCTTAAAAGTGAGATGCTACAGTGGTGTGAAAGTTACTTGTAACCGGTTGGATGTAAATAGGTTAGGCTTCTACTCTATTCTAAGCATGCACTTAGAATTCTGTCAGACATGTACTGCAAAATGATTTGTGTAACTTTATGAATTTTCTTAAATTTTATGGCAGAATGATAGCCATGGGCTATAACTTTTGTTGACATACTGAATGTTAACTTTAATTTTTTTTCACAATCCACGTTGGAAAACCATCAAGTCTATGACAAAACTCAGGAATGGGTCCTTTACTATTCACTTTCCTTACTAATGCTGCCATTATAAGTTCAGC